ACTGGTGACCTCTTGGTGCAGGGTCGACCCTCAACCACTGAGCACACCAGCCAGGCTATAAAGAGACTTTTAGATGAAGGTGCCTACCAACTACCAACTGTGGAGACTCTATAAGTATTTGTTACAGTGATGGACGCGTGTGCCTGGTGCGAATGACGGACAGCGCTCAGAGGCGCCCGGGCTGGTTGCTGCTGCGCTGCGCACGAGAGCTCAGGAGCCTTCGGGCACAGACAGGACCCCTCCGTCTGACATCACGGCGAGGAGGGCGAGTCACCACGCAGTGTGTCCCTTCACCCAGATGTGTGGATTCATCCTAGAATCAAATCCGAGTCTTTCATAAAGAAACAAAGTTTCTTATTCCAACAGCTTAGTGGTTAGATAGCTGAAGACAGAGTTTATTTAATATGCTAGGAGACGTCGATATTAAAGTATTGCTCTGATGTGTGACCTTGAATTGTAGAAAGCAGCTCTTCGGAGAGCAACCTTCCTCTGCGGACATGAAGCGAAGACGCCAGCGGGAGGGGAGCGGGGCCCGCCGGCCCCGCCCTCACAGGGCCGCTCGGCTCTAGGGGGGAAGCCGGCTGAGACCAAGAACTGCCGACCGTAATAACAGAATCGGTAAGGGGACAATAATCTGAGGGCCAACATCTTCCTATCCGTACACAAGGATGCGTTTGTTGATTTTGGAGAGGGGGAGGGGGAGAGAGAGACGTCAAGGTGAGAAAGCAACATCGATGGGCTGGCTCCCCGTGTGCCCTGACCGGGAATCGAACTTGCCACCTTTTGACGTAGGGTGGCACTCCAACCAACAGTCACCCGGCCAGCGCACAAGTGCTTTTTATAGACAAAGATTTTTTAATTGAAATATCATTACAAAACTACGCGGTTAGAGTTCGTACAATTCAGATTTCAAAGAAGGAAGGAATTAAAATATGACTATTATAGAAATGTGCGAACACTCGTGTGAAATATCAGTGCTAACTATCATCTTGGACGAGGTACTCTGCCGGCTTCCCGCGCGGGTGGCAGGGCGCTTCTGCTCCCGCGGCTCTGGCAGAACCAGCCTGCGCTGCGTCCTGGGGCCGCCGTGGAGAGAGCGCTGGCGCCCCGCTGTGGTGCGAGCGTGCCAGTGCCACGTAAGAACAAGTCACTCCCTCTCCTCGGTCGCTCTACATCTGCAACATTTGGGACAATAAGCTAAGTCTCTGGAGACCTCTGCCTGCTCCTCCGCACAGAAGATCCTGGCGGGGAGGAGGGGGGATCAACATCCAACAATGTCATTAAGCTCCGTGCTCTGTGGGGAGACACGGTTACCTCGGGTCCTCCAGAGCTTTCCAGGACAGGATTTAGGGTGTGATTTAAGACCAGCCTTGGCCTTGATGATGATCCTAATCTCTGCAGAGATTCCATTTTTATTTTTTAAGTACACTTGCTCATAAGCCAGATTCCCAGCTCCTTTGTGGTTTTTGTGGTGCCAGAGATACATCCTGCTTGATGACTCGGTCTCAGGAGAGAGATGCCCGGTACAGGGAGCCATTAAATACGTTCATATTCTAATGGCTATGCTAGATTAAAGGGAAGAAAAGATTCCCCAGTTTCTCTGAGAAACTTCCTAAATTCCTAGGAAACAGTCCTATGCTACTGTGTGATGGTCAATCCAAATCAAGTAATCCATGGATGAAAATATTTAGAAATCCTGTCATGTAATTGCATCTTCACATCGTTGAGTAGAAAGGAAAAAAGGAGATGTAAGATCCCAAAATATGAACCAGGATCACTTGATGGAAGCATTTCCTGTGGAACCATGTGTATCCATCCTTCAACTGGAGCAATTGCGAGAGGGGCCAGAGCCCAGGTGCCCAGGCGGAGAGCGGTCGATTCTGGTCAGATCACACATTTATTTATGCAACGCAGTCTTCGTGGGCACTACTGTCCTCCAGGCACTGTGCTGGGAGCTAAGGATGGAAGAGGAACTCCAACAGACGTCCTTGCCTTATGGAGCTTTCAGACTAGCAGCAGAAAGGAAAATGATTCAGTACTAAGAAGGAAAGGTATTGGGAGATAGCAAAGGGCATGAATGGGAACTCTGATTAGTCCAGAAAGGCAGGTGCCAAGTGAGACTTCCTTGAGTCAGTTACCTCTGAGTTGAGACCCGAGAAGGAATTAATAAGGCGGAGGGCAGAGGAAAAAGGTCCGCCAGTGTAGGGAACATAACATGCAAAGGCTCCGAGGTGAGAGGGTGTGTACACACCATTGGTCAGAGTGCACAGACCACTGGGGGTCAGGGAGGGCAGCGAGGCAGTGGGAAGAAGAGGCACAGGTCACATCAGGTGAGCCACTGTAGGCTTTCAGTTCTTCTAAATGCAATGAAAGCCATTAAAGAATTTTAACATGATAGAGACATGATCTCACCTTTAGTCATTCCCTGGGTACAGTAATGGGTGGTGGTTTATCACTTTCAGGGGCTGAGCTTCTAATCACAGGGCCCTTTGAAGAAATGGCTCAGCCAAGTCTGTGTTCCCATAGAGATGTAATTTAACTCTTTCTTATTTGCTTTCTGGAAAAGATGAAAAGAGTGTGTGTGGGTGTGTGGGTGATTTAAACTAAGTCCTTTATCTTCTATTTATAAGACTAAACAAAAAAGTATTTTCCAAATGTAAGAAAACATTGCTAACCTTTAACTACACTAGTATAGATTTATAAAGTTAAAGCAATGTTAGAGTCTCTAATCTCTACAGCTACTATGAGTGGAAAGGTCTCAGAAATATAGATGAGTTATTCATTTTTTTGTTTATAGTGCACAATCATTTAAAAAAGCGTTCTGTTTATCAAACTCCTAGAAATTACTGAGTTTATCCTTGCCCTACTACTGAGTATTTCACTAAACTTTCAGAATTGGCCCAATTTGCTTACTCTAAATAAAACCTTAAAACATTCTCTACTATTCTCTATTGAACAGCACCCGAGAAAATAACTTGCTATTTTTCTAAACTAGTTGTGGAGTGGAGGGTGGGATGGAATTGGTGTGAGCAGAGATCGGCCTGGACTGGATTCCTCCTGGACCCTTACTTGGTCTGTGAACGCGGGTAAGTCTGTACGCTTGCTTGTTTGTGTTAAACACTTCGGCATCTGTAATTCTTCCCTCATAAAACAGGAATAGGGATTTCTGGATCTCTGTTTTTGTGTGTGTGTTAATTAAGAAAAATACAAGTTCCTTGCACAGATATTCAATTTTTTAAAAAAGTAATTAATTGCTTTCTCATGGAAAAGGAGAAACAGTCTTTTGGATGGCTCCTTGCTTCTTTTAAAAAGCTAACGCATCCTTACCTTTCCATTCTGTTGTATTTTGAAACACTGATGCTTTATAAAATATTAACTGAAGTGCTGTGTGTCATCTCCTAGAATCCTTCTCCCATTTCATCCTGGGCCCATCCCTGCATGACTTTCAGGGTCCAAAGATGACCTTTCCTTCCCTGGTTCTGTTCAGGTGGAGAACTTATGTTTGCAGTACCCTTTGCTCACAGCTCACTGGCTCTGTTAGAACTTCGCCCCTGACACACACACACACACACACACACCCTTTCAATGTTGAATTGCCAGGGGTTTAATAGTAGAAGCCATGTTTGACACATCAACATGTTTAGAAAAGAGATGTTCCTTCCTAAATATGAAAGGGAAAATTGGTTCAGTTACTTGAGTAACAACTGTTCTGCTTTTATGTTCTTCTCCGTTTTTGTGATAAAGTTCTGTGACAATAAGACTGCACGCAGTGGTTCAACGCCCTTGAGGAAGGCTGCAGCCAGAGGACACTGCCCTGGATGACGAAGCTCTTTCAGATCCAGAAGAAGAATCCCGCTTCCTTTCCTTCCCTGTACTCACACAGCCCGTCCTGTAATTAGCGGAGCAAGTCAATCTGAGCTAAGCTAGGCAAATCACTAGTTTTCCACGAAATAATTATATTTCGGTTGCTCCCAGACATGTGCACCTCTAAACCTGAAAACAGAGGAAGATGTTTTTCTTTTTCCTGACGGGGGCAGGGAGAAGAGTGGACGCGACAGCGGTGCCGTGAGTGGAGCCAGCACCCGGTGGAAAAGAAAGGGACGCGGGGGCGGGGGCGCGTGGGAACACCGAGTCCTGCACGGCGTTTCGGTGCGCAGAAAGTCCGGACAGGATCTGATAACTCTCGAGCAGAACAAAACGAGGCTTTTCCAACGTGCCGTGCCCTCCCCAGAGCTCCGAGCGGGTCTAAGGCAGCGGCGCCAGGGCTATGTAGGTAGCGCCCTACCTGAGCCCGGGCTGCCCCTCTCGACCCCGAGACTTCGGCGCGCCACCCCCACCCCAAACACTCAACGCACCAGGGTGGCTCCTGGGAGCAGCCTGCGCGGAAAAGGGCGCCACGCGTGGGTCGCGCCGGCCTCTTCACTGGATGGACGCCCGACGCTGCCTCCGGGGCGGGGACAGCTCCGGCCACCTTGCGCCCAGCGCGGCGAGTCCCCGCAGAGCTCGCTGGCCGCGGGGGTGGCGGACCTCGGCGCGCTGTGTTTGCGAGAGGGGAGCGCAGCGGCCGCCCCCGCGGCCAGCGGGGCCCCACGTCGCCCGCGGGCTCGGGCAGGTGCGCGGCGCCCCGGCCCGGTGCTCGCGTCCACCCGCCCCGCGGCACGGGCGCCGCGCCCGCCCCGCCCCCGCCCCCGCCCGCGGGCCGCCCGGGGCAGGGCCTGCAGCTGCGGTCGGCGAGCTGGGACCGGGCATGGGCCGGCAGCCGGAGGCGGAGGGCGGCTGAGGGCGGCCAAGGGTTCGCGCCGGGCCAGGCACCGTGCCGGCTCGCGGCGGGGACCGAGCCCGTGAGCTGCAGAGACTCGGCCCCGCGGCGGCGGCGGGGACCGGCGGTGGCGGTCGCTGCCCCGCACTGTGGGGGCAGAGCCAGCGGCGTTGCGGGGCGCGATGCGCTGAGCGCTGGGGGGCCGAGCGTGGGGCTCTGGGGCGCACCGGGAGCCCAGCCCATGGAGCCGGCGGGCACCGGGCGGAGCCTGCCTGTGCCGCCGCCGCTACTGCTGCTGCTGCTCCTGCAGGTGGCGGGGCCAGCGGGCACCCTGGCCGAGACCCTGCTGGACGCTCCCAGGGCCATGGGCACCAGCTCCAGCCCGCCCAGCCCTGCGAGCGTGGTGGCTCCCGGAACGACGCCGTTCGAGGAGAGTCGGTTGCCCGTGTTCACCCTGGATTACCCTCACGTGCAGATTCCCTTCGAGATCACCCTGTGGATCCTGCTGGCCTCCCTGGCCAAGATTGGTGAGCGAGCTCGGAGCCGCGGGCAGGGCAGGGGCGATCGGGGGGAGGTCGTGTGGGAGAGCTAATGTGCGGGTCGTGGTGGCCCACTCCCCAAGCACCAGGCCAGGGCGACATTAGAACAACTTCTGGTCAAGAAGAACCCAGGGAGGAGCTGTTTCCTGCTTGGGTTCTTAAGTGGACATTGGCCTTGAAATAGCCCCAAGTATCAGCCCATCCACACTTAGCGATTTGCTGCTTACTTCTGCTTGGTTAGCCGAGTGTGACAGTCCTCCGCCGAAGCGGAGACCTGTTGACTGAGGGAGAGGCCAGCGGCTGCAGTTTATTGCCCTCACCTCCTGGGAGAGGCTCAGGGGAGCACCAAGGCTAGAGTGGCCCAAGCCCAGGATGCTGGAGGGGAGGGATGTGCTGGTGACACAGATGCTGCCATGCGCCTGACTGATGATGAGCATGGAAGGGGACCAGGGCACCAGAGTGCCCGCAGCTGGGACGCGGCACTCTGTCTCCTCCCTCCTTTGGGCTGAGGACTTGACTCTCCAGGAAGCATTTTCTTTGGCGACTGAGGCCAGTGGGCAAGATGCAGATTTAAAAAGAAGTACCTGCTTTTTGAACTACCTTTACCTCTCATCTGGGAAGCAGAAGCCTCAGGATGTATTTTCTCACTTGCATCCTCCTCCTGCCCCCAATCTTCTGTTATGATTGTGGTGCTTTACATTGTTTTCACTTTATCGTTTAAATACTTTTTTGTAATGATTGTTGTAATGATTCAAAAGTTATCAGGGCAAAAGAACGTATGTGTTATTACCCATGTTTTAGACATTTGGCCGTGAAAGGTCCTGTGCCTCAAGGTGAGGCAGTTTCCATAAAGGATGACAAGCTCCTTAAACCCGCAAGGAGCTTACCGGTGGGTAGGAGAGATGGTACACACGCCAGTGATCATTACACAGGAGAGGGCTAACCAGGGTGAGCAGTGCAGAAGAGATAACATGTCAGTGCAGGGGCAGGAATCACTTCCTCGCGCACAGGAAGCATTTATTCTGGGTTTTCAGGGATGGCCAGGATAGTTAGTTGGAGAAGCAGGGGAACCCCATTCCAGAGAGAGGGAGGTCTACTGGGAGGGAGGCGCAAAGCGGCTAGAAGGGCTGGCATGTGGGCGGCTGGAAGGTGCGGGAGGTTAGCCTGAAGGCGGCCTTCTAGGTCGGACTAAATGAATCGATTCTGTTAATGGTGGCGAAAGGAGGCACATGCTATTTAATGATTTTGCCATTGTAATTACCACTGTTTTAATTCCACCCGAGAAACAGAATTAGAGGAAGTGAATTTCCCCTCTGTCAAGCCGGATACGCACATCTGCATACACCCCTTGTCTGTAATAATAAACTAGGTGCCATCTCAGATGGTCCTTACACCAGACTGCCATGGAGGAAGGACAGATATTAACACTCCCACTTGGTAGAGGTGGAAACTGAAGCATTTATATGAGTTACCCACAGACCCACCTAGTGGGGAACCAAATGCAGGCTCTGTTCTCTCCACGAGGCCCAAGCCTCTGCCAGGGAGGGCTGCTCTGTGCCCTGTTTCCATTACTGCGTCTGTTGCCATTTTTATTCCATTACAACTCTTTCTTCTGTTCTTCACTCCTGACTATTTTAACCTGTTAATCACACTAATAACAGCCGCACATAGGCACTTAAAAGTTCATTTTGTCTAGTTTCCCAACCATCCTGGGTCGGGTGATCACTTAGTTTCATATTCGAGGAAACTGAGAAAAGAAGATGCTAACTTGCTCGTGGGTGAGTCAGAATCTACCCAGGCTGCCTGATGGCTCATCTCTGTGTCTATCTCAGAGGCTTTTTTGGTGGTGAAAATTCAGTGAGAATAGATACGCATGTCACTGTTGGAATGATGCTCAGCGTGTGGTAAACAAGGACTGCCGTCGCAGCAGGGTGGCCGTGGCGTTGGTGCCGGTGCCTCTGCTTCTGCTGCAGGCTCAGCCATCTCCAAGTGCGCTCCTCCTGCGGGTTGCCTTTTTTACTTACTCGTTTTCTATCATAATCTCTTCATCTTATGTGACCTTATCCCAATAATTGTGTGGTATGAGGTCACAGGTGTTTGATCTGCTGCTGGCTATTTTCTTATGCAGATAGAATTCTGCTGCGTGGCACTTGCTGTTCTCGGATCTGCCTGCCTCCCCCGGATGCCGAACTTCTCTGGCTAGGTTTCCTCTTTCCTTTCTGCATCTGGGGTGGCACAGAGCTGGAAACAAAGGCGGACGTTCTTATCTCCTGGCCAGAAGGGTCTAAGGAGGGGACCAAGAGAGACGGCCATGGCTGGAGTGAAGGGGACAGTTCTCAGAGCAGAAAGTACTTGGGGTCTTTTCCAGATTCTTCCTGTGTGTAGTCCTTCTCATGCTTCTTGTTCCTGGAGGAGCCTGGAAGTTCTCAGATCTCCCGACACCTCCCCCGGGCCCTGCGCGTTCTGTTGGCTTTGGGGAGGACTGTCCTGGTACTGTGGGACACTGTCACCGCCCGTTAAGTAGTCTTCTAGTCATTCACATTTTATTTTAACTTTTGTAATGAAGAACACTATTATTTTGGGGGACTAGTGTGTCCTAATTGGCTCCTATTCGGGGAGGATGACGAACTGAGCTGTGCAGAGGCACGTGACGCTTCAAGGTAACAGGAACATTAACTCCTGCAAATGCCGTGGTTTCTGTTTGGGGCGCTTTCATGCCATGTACTTAGTGTACCTGGACTCACCTCCTGGGGAGACGCTGCGAGTGATCAATCTAAACAAGGGTAAACAGATCGCCCCCAAAGGAGACTTCCAACAACATTTGCAGGAGGATCAGATCACTATGATGTGCACCTGAAACTAATATAATACTGTATGTCAATTGTAACTGAAAAAAATTTAAATCATGCCTGACAGTGAATTCAGAATAGTTTTCTAGTTTGCAACACAGTGGACATCTAGAAAAATTACAATCAGAAGTGAGAAAATAAACTTTTGGCAGCTCGAATAAGTCGATTTAACTTTCTACTGCCTTACCTGATTATTATGGAAAATGAACTTTCTAATTATTTGGCAAAAAAAAAAAAGTTCATTAGTAATAAAGTTTCCTAAACTGATGATGATGAGGTGGAGGAGGGTGTGTGTGTGTGTGTGTGTGTGTGTGTGTGTATGAAGTGGGTTAAATAAATAAAAGAACATAGAGAATTTAATACAGCTTTCAAAAAAATGTGGCAAGAAACATCTCCCAATTTGTTTTCCACTTCAATCCTCACACGTGTTCTTTCATTTTGAATATTTGCATTTTGAGTAAATTGGTTTTTTAACAGAAAATGCACACTTTGCTTGGTAAGTCCTGTACCCAGGCTAGAGTTCCACAGCCTGGAAAAGTTCGGTAGCCAAAGAATAATGAAGAGAAACATTTCCCGGAGTGTCTAAGACAGTCCCCTCTGGTTTCCTTGCCTGTGCCAGGGTCCGTGGGATGGGTCCTGAGCTGGGTGGCTTAGGCCTGCCTTCTACCTCTGCTCAAGGCTCAGGCACAGAGCTCGGGGTCCTCGTCTCCGACCTCAGCGGTTCCCTAGAGGCCCCTTTGTTTCTCTGTGGTCTTGTGCAGCTGACCTGTTCGCCTCTTCCAGGTGTCAACACTCATCCTGCCCGTGGTATTTCCTTTGTCCTTAAATGTCGGGTTAGGATGCAGAATTTTCCCTTTCCTTCCATTCTGTTGTCTTGAAATCAAATAATTTGTATTTAAAGGAATGACAAAGTACCTCAATGTGGCTGGTGTGGCTGGTGAGGCTCAGTGGTTGAGCGTCGACCCTGCAGCAAGAGGTCCTGGTTCGAGGCCCAGTCCAGGCACTTGCCAGGTTGTGGGCCCGATCCCCAGTGGGGGGCATGCAGGAGGTAGCCTGTCAGCGTTCTCTCTCATTGAAGTTTCTATCTCTCTCTCCATCTCCCTTTCTCTCTCTCTCAAATCAATAAAAGAAAGAAAATTAAGGGACTGACAATGCAATTTGGTCATGAAGGCTTCTCCTTTGGACTCCACGCTGTCCTGAGTTGGAGTTTCCTTGGATGATACCCGCCTGAATTACCCAGACCTTGCCCTTCATCTGTTTCTCTTTGTACTATTTGGTGTTCCTGACATTCACTAGCTGGTTGGTCAGGTGCAGCTCAGGACTTGCCCTACTGTGTGAGCCACATCTCACTTGGAGTCTATTTCTACAGCCTGGCGTTCCTGGTGGCAAGTGTTTGTTCCTGATGAAGCTAAAAGAAGGGCTGTGATTCCCTTCTGCCTCAAGCCTTCATCTTGTCCCATTGTGCACACTGTACATCTCCTTTCTGTCTGCACGGTGACTTCAAGAGCATTCTCACACTCGTTCTAAGGACCAATTCAGGTGCTTTCTTCAGAATGTTATCACTGTGTTCCACCACAGGAATACTTGTGTACCTTCTGAAATAAATAGCACATTGTTATTACAACCTAATATTTTACGCCAAAATGTTACTTTTTATATCAACTTTAACAATTGCAATATTATTTATCATTAATGAGATGCTTTATTTATTTATTGGCAGAATTCTTTTAGATATCTTGAAGCCCTAAGATGTATACAAAGAATCTTTTGTATAAACGTATTTGTTTGTTCCCTGTAGGGTTGAAACACTGACCTGTAAAATCAAGTGAATTTGATGGTTTGTATATGGATAGATTTTCACCAATGATCGAATTCCAACTTTTTGTCTTGTAATTTGGACCTGCTTTGTATTTAATTTATCTTAACAATGTTAACATAGATTTGCAAACATGCTTACCAGTTTGTCTTCATTGTTACTTCTTGTATCTTCCCTTTCCTTCCAGATCTTTTTCTTTTTACTGAAATATGTTCTTTAGTGGATACTTGAGGGAGGATCTTTGAATGACAAATTCCCTTTGTCTTTGTCTAAAAATGTCTTTATTTTTATTATACTCTTGAATGATTATATAAGAGTATAGG